CTAAGGTTGCGGTTTCGATATCGGTTGGTGTCGATAGATTTTCTAGATACAAAAATCGGGGGTACGCATGTCATATGATCATGTGGAATGGAAAAGGTCCCTTGAGCATCAATTTGGTTTTGGTACTTTAGCCAACTTTAATTTACTGCAATATTTATCATCCGACGAGAACTCGAATTAATATCCATTCAAGCGCCGAAATTTGGTAGCGAGGACCGCCACTAGATGGTGCCATCGTGAAATGGCTCGTTTATCTGGGGACCCGACGTGTTTGCTAATGCTTAGTTGCCAGCATGCAGCCCATTAGAGAAAGGAAACAAAGCAACCCTCTTCGCTTTAAATGCTTCTTAGATCTATAATATATAGTTTTATCACTACAATATATCTATAGTAACAAGCATAGTTTACGGGAAATTAAAAGATAAAAGAAACACTAAAGATACATTGTCATCGAAATGAAAAAGAAAAATTAAGCATTAGATGCGGATGGCTTTGTAAGCTATTTTTATAAGCATTTGAATTTTCTGCTTATCAATTACTTTCAAATATTAATTAAAATTTAAGTTACATCTCGTTTGAATAAAATAAGCACACATAGCTGAAAGATGCATAGTAAATATCGTATTTACTCAAATCTAAGCCACCATCGATTCTAAGCGCACCCCAAATTCTCAAAATGTTTTTGTGAAAAAATGTTGTCATGGATTCTAAGCCGCACCCCGAATTCTATATTCGTTTTTCAGAAAAAAAAAGAAAAAAAAAACGTGTAAAAAGTTTATCGATATCCGATATTTAAGAAATTGAAAAAAATTAATGAGAATTAATTAGAAGCTAACAATTAATTTATTTGACCAGTATTAAAAACTTTCAAATATGAACCTATAATTATTCTAAACGTCACTATCATGTTCTGAAAATAATTCGTCACTCTCATTGTCGAAACTTACTTCAAAATATTGGTGCCAGCGTCGCCAGTTTCATAAACTGCGTTGTATTTCTTGTGTGTGTGTGTGTGTAACATTTTTTTTAAAAAAAGTATTATATTTAAATGTAAAGTAATTATTAAGGACTGTTGAACACCTGCAATCAAATATTATATCATTTTGCTAACGCCATCGACTTATATTTGTTTCATCCGCAAACTTTCAATGGCCGCTGCTCTTTTTCCATTTTGTTCTGCAAAAAAAATTGACTCCCTTTTCATACTTGCGTCCTAGTGAGCTCGTCTTGATGCTATTAGTGATATCTTTGATGTTTAGGTGATTAACTGAAATCATATCCAAAAAACTTCCAACATAGGAGCAGACAACGTTGCTTAGGATAGACTAAATTACTGGAGATAAACTGTGGAATGGGATAAGCCATCGATGCAAATGTTTAAAATGGACGGTTACATTCCTACTTTTGAAAGGGGTTGAATCTCAATCCTCCCCCATCCAAAAAATGTTCTACCTTTGATTCTAAGACGCACCCGATTTTCAGTAGCATTAAACTTGAAAAATAGTACGGCTTAGGTTCGAGTAAATACGGTATAAATAAAAAAAAATAATGAAATATATTAACTAGTCTAAATTATTAAAATGGTTTAGGAAATGTATTTCGAGGTACCCATTTTCAGAAAATAAGATATATTACAAAATAAAACATAACTTTCATTCTGCTCTCGCTTCAAAATAAATCTATTGATCTAAGTAATAAATAATTCCCATTAGATTTCAATAAAATTACTTTTCTTAAAAAAATTAACAATTTATTAAATTAATGAATATACATGCAAGAAATTAGTAGGATATCGCAGGACTTAGATAGTCTTTTTTACAAAGAATGAAATACTGTGAATTCGCCACAAAAAATATGGTGACAAGCTACAGTGCTCAAGTTTAAAGTATTACACTCACCCTTGAGGCTCAAAAATATCATGAATTGTGCTGCCAAAATGACCTTTCACTCCTGCCCAAGTTGCCGCAATAATTGCTGGAATTACTGAAAAATAGGAAAATTAAAAAAAATGAATTCACACACAATAAATGGTTTTCGTAAATGTCATAAAAAGTTCTTTGAAAATCTACAAGTAAATCATAAATTTATACAGAAGGCATAGCAAAACTAAAATTTAGAGCTCATAGTAGTTTTAATTTTAAATACTTTTAGGTACTGCTTCTCAAACTTTCAATACTTACGACCCAATTTTCAATCATAAAGTACTAAAAGCTAAATGCTAAAGCTGCAATATGACTTTAATTATAAACCGTACAAATTATCAAGATGAGTATTAAATTTTGTGTATAATTCCGTATATGACAAGCCCATGTGAGTCACTAGTAAGTATTAATCTTGTTCTTAACTTAGTATTAATAAATTAATTATCAAATACATGATGCAGTACTGATGCATTTATAAGAAATTATATTAATGTAAATGTGTACTTTACTTTTTTTATTATGTCAGAATGCATTTTGTTTTGCTTCATTTCCTTAAATTTGCAATTTTTTAAATCTTTTATTTTTGACTTTTTGATATCCTCGCGCCCCCTTGTAAGATTACTACACCCCCCAAGGGGGCACGCCCCACAGTTTGAGAAACGCTGCTTTTAGGTATAAGAGTTCATTCTGAATATCCCTCAAGATCTTATTTCAACTCTTGTTCCCAACAACGCTTAGCTAATTTTGGTATGTTATAAACAAATCCTGATAATCAAAATCAGTGTTAAAAGATTTTACTCTAGATTTATTCCGTAAATATGTAGAAGACAGATTTTTTTTTATGAAAATAATAATTTATTTTACAGATAGTATGATCATTTGCATGTGATATGCTTACCCCATCCAATAGTTGTATACACATAGATCTTGACGTTATCCACAGTGAATGTTTTAACGACTAAAATGAAGAGGTAGAGTCCCTCCACGAACATCCAGAAGAAATTGGTCCCCATCAAGTAAGTCAAAAATATAGTCAAGAAGCACGCAATCTGCAATTAAATGAAAAATTGTGTTAAATATGTATAATTTAGAAATTCAATTCGGGTGAAAATAAGGTTTTTTTGTTAGAATTAAAATAAGGTGTGACACAAAAAAAATCGAGACTAAGTGTATAGCTTGAAAAATGAGTGACGTTGGCAACAACTGTTACGGTGACGTCATCTTACGTACCTCTTTTATCCATGTGGCCAGTTTCACCTTAATCCATCTTGCCAGTTGGGAGTACTACGTCATTGAGTGAACACGTGAAATGCCGGAAAAATGTCGAATCAGCATCAAGTTTCTTGTAAAACTCAAGAAATCAACCTCGGAAACATTTCAAATATTAACCGAGGCTTATGGAGATGAAACTTTGTCTAGTACACATGTGTTTGAATGGTATAAGATGTTTTCCGGGGAAAGGGTCAGTGTGGGAGATGATGATCCTGCAGGGCACCCAAGAACAGTGATTACATACCAACACATAGCAAAAATTCGTTATGTGAGCGGAAACTCACTCACATCATTGGTCAGACTTTTAATCAACACTACTACATTGAAGTACTAAAAAGACTTCAGGGAAAAATAAAGAAACAAAGGCCAGCATTGGGGTGTGATGGATGGCTGTTGCACCAAGACTATACATCCGCTCACATGGCCCTATCTGTCAACAAGTTTCTGACCAGCAAAAACATTATTGTGATGAGGAATCCTCCTAATTTACTTGATTTGGGCTTATGTGACTTTTTTATTTCCAACAGAAATGGAGCCCATTTTATCTCAGTTGAAGAGGTTCAGGCGAAAACGGGGAATATCCTGTAGGGTCTACCAAAAAGCCCATTCCAGAACTGTTACCAGCAAGAACAACACCCAATACAGAAGTGTGTGAATGCTGAAAGAAAGTACTTTGAAGGTGATACTATCATGGAGAACTGATTCTATAAGTACAATGATTTATTGAACCAGTCTCGTTTTTGTGTGTGTGTCACACCTTGTATGCTAAAATTATAGGAAAGTGAATCTAAATGAAAATGGGAATGGGTTTTATAAAAATGGGATTGTGTCTGGATAAGTTAATGTATGCTACATTGTCATTCTTGGATAATACGTTCATTTGAGTATTTTGTTTAGAAATTGACTTTATAATTTTGTGAGAAGTTTGAAGTGAAATTTAATGTAGGTTTAAGAATAAGAAAATACTAAAATAGATTAACTTCGTATTTAATCTTTAATTTTTATTAATTTTAACTTCTAGTTGAACATTGCAAGTTTAAAGAAGTACAATTTTTCCAAGACATACTAAAAACCTTCACAATATCTAATACAAATGTATTTAAAGCATATTGCTGATAAATGGAAGAAATTAATTTTAGGTCTATTAAGAATTATGTTATAACAGTAGCTGTGTAAATAATTCAATCTTTGTAGCATTTATTTATTCATAGTTAAAAAAACTAATCCAAGATTATCAGTAAAAATGTCTATTTAAAATATAGTTATTTTTCAACAAAATATTTTATCGCTTGTTTTCGTATTAATGTGAATTTATAGGAATATTTTAATTATATATATATATATATATATATATATATATATATATATATATATATATATATATATATATATAAAATCCAAAATTGTCTCAAAAAACAGAGATTAGATACTAACCCTGCTAGAAATATAATCTTGACTTGTTTGAAGTTTGGCTGTAAGTATCCATGTAATGTCCAGGAGCAAATAAGTGAGCATAAGATTAGCGTGTATAGTATTCCTCAAACATCTCAAATCCCTGCAAAAATAAATAAAACGCCTTGATACACATTAAAAAAAGAAGAAATATCTTGTTAGTTTAAATGACCAAAATACATGAGAAGTTGAATTGGAAAAAGTTCAATTATTAAGAGTTTTATAAAAAAAATTCTACGTAACAAAGAACTTGTTTTCGCCTTTAAATTTAAAGTATCCGACTACGTTCGGAACAGTGATTTTAAAAAAGCGCATAAATGAATAATTTTCATGATATTTAGTGTCATTAGCCAATCAATGTGGGATTCGAACCCACGACCTTTGGATTCGAAGTCCAACGCGCTACCCATTGCGATAAAGGGACACAACGAACGAATATGCTATTGGACCCTTATTTTTGTTTGTTACCATTTATTAATTTTTTAATTTATTTAATGAATCAATATTTGAAGAAACTGTATTAACATCAAGTGTCATCCACAACAAGTTTAAAAAATGTATTTGAACTTGAGTGCAGTGGCGTAACGTACACCCCCGCAACCCCTGCACTGAGGGGGGGGGCAAAGCTAACCTGACGCCATTAATGTAGAATTTCACAAAATTAGCATTACATTTTTTTTAATCCAATTTTTAAGCGATTTTCAAATTGGCGATCTAACATCACTCAAAATCAAAAATTTGATCGCTTATTAAATATCTTATAGATTCAATAACCAAATAAAAAAACATTTTATTTGCTGTAATCCCCGCGACAAGATTTGCAGGGACAAGATTCGGATTAAAATGTTTTAACTTTTTATCTCACTGTATTGTACGAGTACTTTTATTTTATGAGTTGTTTATTTCTATACTCTCTCTTAATATATAAACGTTCTTACAAGGAAATCAATATATGAAAAATATACAATTTTACTTTTCTATTTATGTGTTTAATGAATAGTTATATTTAATAATATTTCTAAGGGTTATATTTATGTTGCTTATTTTTTATGCTAATATATAATTTAAATAATGCATATTTAATGCATAATAAAACTCTAAATATGTCTGTATATTCTTGACCTTTATTCCCTAACTCTGCATGCATTGCCGCGAGAATTGAATTGTTTCAAATATTTCCAACTGCGCTTGACATCCAGAATTACATTGGTAGATTGGCTTAACATTCCGCAACTATAAGTTTGTCGATCCTTGTTTGGTATATAATTGATGTTTAAACGATGGTACCTATGCTGGCGTTTGGCCAATGGCATTTTCTTTTGATTTCCAATACAGGTTTTCTTTTTATTCAACTTGTCTTCTTTTCATTTGGGCAACCCTCATAGCTTAAGAAATATTGCAGTTCATATATAGTATTGAGAAATGTGTTTTTATTTGTTACTCTATCAATAACATATTATTATACTTTTTGAATTAAATCTTTATTTTTATTTTGTTACAAAAAATAACAATCTCTTTTGTAGACATTGTTTTAAAAATGTATTTGTGTTGTTAATTTGTACACTTTTGCTATATTCTCTTGTATCGCCCCCTACAACTTATCACTTTTACGACTTTACTCAAACCGAGCTGACGTACCATCCCAGTCGTCCAGTCGTTCGCAAGTGCCACCAGTCATATTAAGTACCTCTTTGTTTTCAGAAATTTTAATTCTGAGATATATTGATAAATTGTTGGTACTGATTACCTATGTTGATGATAATAAATCTTCGTTTGTTTGGAATTAAAGTTTATTTTTCTCTCATTTGAATTCTATCGACGTTGATTTTAATGCTGGCATCCCACCGCATTGAGGCCTACTACCCCCTATTTGCAGTATTTAATAATAGAATGTTACTTTAAACAGTATTCCCCCCTTATATATCAATTTAATTGTGGATGCGGTAGCCTAGTAGTGAAGGTAACGAACACATGACCGGCGTGTCATGAGTTCGAGCATAGTGCTCCAGAAAACCCGCCGATAAAAATGCACGATAAATCTGTCAAGAGCTGAAACGACCTCCCGTTAGTGTGGTAGTTAGGAGAGGGAGGTGCCAACTCAGGTGTCATTCTTGACACTTGACTATGGCTCAAAGTTACGAGGTCTGCAGCCAAATTCCCTCGTATAGGACGTTAATATTCACTCACTCACTCCTCAATATAATTGTGGTGTTGTTAATGTCATTCGATTGACAGTGCTAGATCGAGACCCACAAAATTCATCATGGCAAGGGACTGGAACAGTGCTTCTCAAACTTTCAATATTCGCAACACAATATTCAATCATCATTTTCATCACCCCCCCCCTCTCCATATAATAACAATGTATTGAATTAAAAAAAAGAAACTTTAATACTTTGACACTAAAGATACAATACGAATTTAATCTCTTATGTGCTACTGACGTATATAAGCGTCTCTATCAGCCAAAGCATTAATTTTCTGGACGTATTTATACGTCTTTCCGAAGTACGATCTTTTATGTGCACTGCTATCCATACAATTATTTCGAAGGCTTTGGAATGCAATAAAAGGACTTTCACAGTATTTGCGAAGGATTTACTTATTTCAGAGGATTTGCTTATATATTTTTCTTCTCCCCCCCCCCCCTAAAAACTTCAAATTACGTGAGCCTACATGGCAAACGGTGGCATTGGGGAGTGAATCACGTAACTTTTAATCGACAGTTAAGGCATTAATTATAAACCGTAGACATTATCAAGATAAGCGTTAATACAAGCTCATGGGGTCACTGGTAATTATCACACTTGTTCTTAACTTAGTGTTGTTAAATTAATAATAAAATACATTGTACAGTACTGATACACATTTATAAGTATATTATATCCGTGTAAATGTGTATTTTATAATTTATTATTTCAGAAAGCATTTTTTTTTCTTTCAGTAAATTAATAATTTTTTGAATAATCTTTTGTTTTCGACTTTCCAATAGGCTCGCGCCCCCTACGTACATTTATCACGCCCCCCCAGTTTGAGAAACGCTGGGTAAGAACATTATGCCTGTCGTTATCCGTAGCTTTGAGCATCATATATTTAACAGTATGGCTTAGTTCGATTCTATAATTTTTAGTGAGAACACTTGGGGAGTGGTGAAGGGGCCTCGCATCTCGCTTCCTCTACACTAGAGTATTTACGGCTCGTAGAGGGTCCCCATGCCGCACAGGCACCATAATTTTACAAAGACATTCCGCGCGATTCAAGCCCAATCCCTACGGCACAGTTTTATTAACTACTATACCGGATGAGTGGCTTCAATATAATTGTTATGAGTTGGGTTTATTAATTGTTTGAATTAATCCTTCACAGTCTCCGGTTAAACATGAATATTAAAGGAAGGTTGAGAAATGACTCATCACAGTACGAGGATCATTAATCTAAGGAAGTTCTCATCCTATATACCATTAATTCTCTTCATAAAACAAATTATCTAACAAACGATATGTGCATATTTAATTTATACACTTTCATTTAGAATGTGTTACAACACATTATATTTATCGTAAATTTAAATTATAATGTAGATAAACTACCAATCATTAAGCTAAATAAAAGAGCTTTCAAATTGTTAGATTTTTTATGGCAGTTTTAATATCGAATTAATTACATTCGGAATAAAACTACGTCTTTAATTTATTAAAATATATTTAGCATCTCGTTTTTTTGATACATTTACAATCTTTAATATTCTTATAAATTACAAGCATAATGAAATATACGAAAGGAAATATTAAACTTTATTCCAGAGCATTTGTTTGTACTTTATAATATTTGAACAACTAGAAATTCATTATTGTTTGTACCTTTGACATTTCCGCTGATATTTAAGAAGCTTATTAACTAAGATCATAAAACATTTGAACAAGTATTTTAAAGTCTTAGAATTATCTAAAATGTGCATAAAAAGCATGCATGTAGTCCTTATACATAAATATGAACCCTTTTTGCAGCGTAAATCAAAAGTTAAATTATTCGATATTTTCAATGGTTAAGGAAGAAATGAAAACATTTATTGATTTTCTGATCAAATTAACGTTTTAAAAGAAATAATGGATTTATTATGTTTCAAAATTAATAATGAGTTTATTATATTTCTGAATTAATGATGGGTTAGAAAAAAATCCCTTCTAAAATATATATTCTACGTTAGTTTCTATCTAACACCTTTATCTAATTCTGATATCGAGAGCTGTACAGCCATTTTCAACTTAGAAGAGCTGAGCAAATCCTCTTTCCATTAAAGGATCGATGTGTACGTGACTTCAATAAATAACGAAAGTAAAATTATATATCTAGAATCTAATGGCAGAACGGCTAGAACTTCTCTGAGGATTTTATGATAAATAAATACAGTTTATTTTATTTAGTTTGTAAGTCTCCCTTACTCAAGTATAACTTTTAAAGTAGCTTCGATAAGTATGAAGAAAATTTAATAGGTTGGTTGCCACACAAAATACTGCACGTAAGGGAAACACTCGCGATACATTTTTAAAAATTATTTCGTTAACTTTTTTTTCTTAACGCTACCGTAAAGATGCTTTACGAATTATTACAATGATCTAGTGATTTTTGAGCCATAATCTGATAATTGCAATGACTTCAAAAATGTTTAAACTTCTAGTTCAGGGGTCGGCAACCTTGTAATCGTCGGTGTGCCTAACCATTCAGCCAATATCATTCAGAGTGTCATGCAATAGGAAATATTTCAAACAATTCGATTCCCGTGACAATGCATGCAGAATTAAGGAGTAGAGATCTAGAGAATGTGTACATGTACAGTTTTTTATTATAAAGAGTGTTTTTTTCCAGGTACAGAAGTTTAAGTTGGCATTACTTTCCAAGATGGCGACCGATTTAACAGCTGTCAAGTGATTTATTCTCAGTTTGGTTTGGCAATTTATCAAAACGATCATAAAGCAAGGCGTAGATTCGTCGAATGGGCCCAAAACGAGATTGCCGTTGTTCCCGATTTTCATAAGCGAATTTTGTTTAGCGATGAAGCGCACTTCTGGTTGAATGGCTACGTCAACAAACAAAACTGCCGCATTTGGAGTGAAGCTAATCCACAAGTGTATGTCGAAACACCGTTACATCCAGAAAAACAGACTGTTTGGTGCGCTTTATGGGCGGGTGGAATCCTTCTTCAAAAACGATGAAGGCCACAACGTTACAGTCAATGGTGATCGGTATAGAGCCATGATTACTAACTTTTCATTCCTGAATTGAACAATCATGATGTCCAGGAGCTGTGGTTCCAACAAGACGGCGCAACATGTCACACAGCTCGTGCCACAATCGATTTATTGAAAGACACGTTTGGTGACCGCCTAATTTCACGTTTTGGACCTGTGAATTGGCCTCCA